TCTCTCTCTCTCTCTCTCTCTCTCTCTCTCTCTCTCTCTCGGAAGTCACCATAATGATTGGTATGGCTGGAGCCATGTCCCCTTGCTCCTGATACCATGATCAGTGAGGTCCCTGAATGATGCCACAGATGTTGCTCACACTGGGAGTGTGTTTGAAGTGATGGGGTAGTGGGATGTTGGTTGGAGTGAGGCGGCATGGAGAGGCAAGGGAGGAATAAAGGGTAAGCCTGCAGATGTCTTCTAGGAACAGGCACTAATTCCTGCTGCTTTCCCATTCATCTTGGGGGCCATGGACTCTTTGATCCTTTCCCTCTATCCCTACCACTCAGTCCCCTCTAAACATCATATGCAGCCAGCAACTTTTGACAGGCCAAGGATGCCTTATTGGGACCATGGAGCAATGTCTTATCAAGGAGCCCCCAGGACACCTAAATATCACTGATTTAGGGCTCTGACCCAATCCTAAACCGTGAGCACCTAGCGTTGACTTAAGTAGCAACTATTAATGTGACAAGTACCAACAACTGTACATCTTTAAAAAGGAACTTTCCCCCCAAATCATCTATTAGCATCAGAATAGAGCCACGGAAAAGAATCGCTGTGCAGGTTTAGTGTAGCCCTCACCATCACCAAAGGTGGAAGATTCAAAGCATCAGAGATGACAAAGACCTGTGTGCTACACACTTGTAGTAGATAAGCTTCCGGATCACTTGTGTCCTCCCTGTTTCATAGCCTGGCTCTCGTCCTTGAGCTGTGTGATCTTGCATGGAAAGTGAAAGCAATACGGGCACTAGATTGCCATGACCTTCGACTTAGCCACCTGCCTGGCACACTGTAAAACAATCCACAAAATTGTTGTATTTGTCTGTTTCCTTGGCATTAGGCAAACTGACGGCAATCTGGAAGACTTTCAAGGCGAGGAGGGTCCCTTCTGGTAAAAGTCACAGTCAGTTTCCCTTCTTTCTAGTCTGATTTGATGGCGAGCGGCCTCCATGTCATGATGGATGGCCTGAACCTCTGAAGAAGGCACGGAAAAGAACTGAAAGGTGAGACTGATAGCTAGATGCTTTGAGAGGGCTAGAACACTATCATCCAAACATGGGTTCTCTCATCGGAGTGAAGGAGCCAATGTGGAATGCTTGGGTCATGCCACACCTGCCTTCTGGCCCCTGTTCCCTCCCTCCCCTGCTGCTGAGGCAGTCTTCTGGATTGCCTCTTAGAATTCACTCCTGGGAAGCTGTGATTTGCTGGAGAAGATCCTTGTCTCTCAGTTGTCATTAGGAATAGCCTTTCCACTATTAGCTGCCCCCAGCCCCAGGTCTTCTGTGAGTATAATGCTTTTGGGCAGCTGTGACCAACCAAATTACCTGATAGAAACAGAGGAAGAAAAATTTATTTTGGCTCATGGATTCAGAGGGCTCAGGCCATGGTTTCTTGGACCCATGTTTCTGGACTTGTGCTAGAGAGAACACCATGGCAGAGGGCACATGCAGAGGAACAGATAGGCTATTCACAGGAACCAGAGGAAAGGAATACAGGGAGGGACCGGGGGAGCCATAGCCCCCCAAACACACACCCAATCACTTACTTCATCCAACTAGACCCCACCTACTACTTTTAACGAACTCTCAACAGCATCACCATGTTCTGACTCCATCAAGGGATCAATCTATCTGCAAAAGCCCACCATCTGGCAGTCAAAGCCTAAACTTGACCCTGTTGGTGATACTTCATATTCAGATAAGAGCAAATGCTGCCAAGTTCTTTTATATGTGACCACTATACCTCATGAAGAAGATAAGGCCCCTAACTGGTTGTCCTGTGAAGAGTGGTCAGCCTGGAAACTACATACACACAGGCAACACAAGTGGACTCCACAGATTACATTTATATGTATGTGTGTATATACATATACACATATGCATGTAACAATAATAATAAAAAATGCTGTCGAGGAGTTGGGGAGCATGGGAGGGATTTGATGGAGGGTGGTTGGGAGAGGCTGGATGGAGAAAAGGGAGTGGGGAAATTATATGATTTTATTCAATTAAAACATACTTAAAATTTTTAATAAAGGAAAAAAAGGAGAGTTTTACTAAGTGGTAGATTTCTCAGTGTAGACAAAAGGGCTTCTTTTTTTGCATATTACATTCCAAGGGACCAAGAGATGTGAAGCAGTATGCAGGCTGGGAGAGACCACTCTCTAGGGGAGGCTGTGTGATTCCTGGTGGCCAGAGAGCCTTTCCCTTCCTAGACTCAGCAGCCCCAAACCAGGGTCATGATGACACTTACTCTTCCAGAAGTAGCCCCAAACAAGGCTGCATTCCAGGCCATAGCAACCCCTCTGCCATGAGCACAGTGGCCAGTGCCAGGCACTCTCTGGTGATACAGAGGTTGGCCTGAGGGAGGCTTGAAAAGGACCAGCTGTTCAGGGAAGACATCCCCCATAGCAGGAATGCCCTGGGTGGTTTTAAAGGTATTTCATGCTTCCAGGCAAACATCTAGCAAGAGAGAGCATATTGGAATAGAGTTTGCCACCTCGTGTCTTAACTGTACTTTACTTAGAGTATTCTCAGCATTTTATTCAGAAGGAAAGTGAAAAGTGTGCAGAGTCCTGGCCATTCTCTACTGGATGTAGCTAGAGTTTTCCTGCCTTGCCCACAGTCAGGACAAATCTTTGTCACCCGCCAGTCCCACAGCCGCTCAGACCCAACCAAGTAAACACAGAGACTTATATTGCTTACAAACTGTGTGGCCGTGGCAGGCTTCTTGCTAACTGTTCTTATAGCTTAAATTAATCCATTTCCATAAATCTATACCTTGCCACATGGCTGGTGGCTTACCGGTGCCTTCACATGAGGCTTGTCATGGCGGCGGCTGGCAGTGTTTTTCTGCCTCAGCCTTCTGCTTCCCAGAACTCTCCTCTCTCCTTGTCCCACCTACTTCCTGCCTGGCCACTGGCCAATCAGTGTTTTATTTATTGACCAATCAGAGCAATTTGATATACAGACCATCCCACAGCAACTGGATGCTGCTAAATGTCTACAGAGGGATGTCTGCAGGCCAGGGTTGGGCTAAACACCTGTGTCCACTCATTCAATTCCCCCAGCTCTGTAATAAGGTTGGGAGGCACTTTGATTTTTTTCCTCTCCTCAGAGATATGTGAACTGAGGCTCAGAAAGGTGAAGTCACCTTCTCTGGGTCTTAAAGTGATTAAGTGGCCAAAGTTACAGTATCAAATCGGGTACCTAGATGGTGGCATCACCAATCTGTGTAGTCCAGTAAGCGATGGTCATTTTCTGTTCTCTGTGAGTGACCTCTCTTCCTTTCAGTCACCTTCCATATTCAGTCAGACCCCCCCCCCCCCCCCGCTCATTTCACCACCACTAAGTGAGGTCTTTGTCTCCTGATCCCAGATAAGCAGGAAATAGACTATTCCTTCACTTTATTTCTATGCATTCTTTTTCCCCTTCTCATTTCTCACACAACTGCTGTAGTGGCATTCCTAAAATACTTGATGCATTTGATACTGTCAGCCTCTCAACTCCCATCCTCCACAGGTCAGATTCCATGTTCTGTCACTCTGATACCTGCAGTCTCATGGTACTTACTGATTTATTATTTCTCTGGTTCAGTCTAATTGCACTGAATTTGATTACATAAACTGACTTATTTCTTGCCCAGAGAACATCCTTTCACTTTCTTGTCAGAATTTTTATTTTATTTTTTGAAATGACCTCACACAGTCTCGGCTGGCCTTAAAGATGCTATATAGCCAACGACAATCTTGAACTTCTGGTCCCTCATACTCCCACCTCCCAGGTATTGGTATTGCAGGCCTGTACCACCATGTCTAATTGCCTGTCAAGATTTTATTTCCCACTGCTCTTCCTGCCTAGGAATTCTTTGCTTCCAAAGCTAATCCATCCTTTATCTGAAGTTCAAATCCAATTTCTTCTGTAAGCTTCCCTGTCCACCAGACTCTCTAGGGAGGGGTTATGAATGGGTGGTCTGTGGGTTCATTTTGTTTGAAAAGACAGTTCTTAGAACGGAAAGGGATGCCTGTGTATTGGTGAAATTATTAAGGCCACTCCACGTAGTTAAAAGGGAGGTTGATTTATTTTTTCCTTTTATTTTATTTTACAATACCATTCACTTCTACATATCAGCCACGGATTCCCTTGTTCTCCCCCCTCCAGCCCCCCTCCCCTTCCCTCCAGGCCACCCCCATCCCCACCTCCTCCAGGGCAAAGCCTCCCCCGAGGACTGAGATCAACCTGGTAGACTCACTACAGGAAGGTCTAGTCCCCTCCTCCCAGACTGAGCCAAGTGTCCCTGCATAAGCCCCAGGTTTCAAACAGCCAACTCATGCATTGAGCACAGGACCCGGTACCACTGCCTAGATGATGGGTTACAGAAGAAATAAAGAAAGAAATTAAAGACTTCCTAGAGATCAACAAAAATGAAGACACCACATACCCAAACTTATGGGA